TAATTGTATGATTTCTGTAATTATAATTATGCTATTGGTCTTTTATCTCAGAAATGATTGCCAAAAGTAAAAAAGAATAATTATTAAGCACTTCAGTCTAAAAATTTTTGTTGTTTTAGGACTAGGGTGTCTTTTGAGCTAATGTTTGTAGGGCGTTTAGAAGGATACCTAATGTCTGTTAATTTCACACCACTTTGATCATGTTACATTATAGAATATTATCTTGCTGTGGATCATTCTTGAAGCTGTTTTTACTGGTCTGAGGAGAGAAGCCATCTTAGGAAAATTTAGGTGTTAAGAAACACTGGGATTGGGCCTGACATGATAGCATAGTGGTTAAAGTCCTTGCCTTACACACGCCAGGGTCCCATATGGTTGCTGGTTCTAATTCCGGTGGTTCTGCTTCCCATCTAGCTCTCAGGTTGTGGCCTGGGAAAGCAAACTAGGATGGCCCAAAGTCTTGGGACCCTGCACCTGCGTGGGAGACCTGGAAGAGATCCTGGCTCCTGGCTTCGGATTGGCTCAGCTCCGGCCGTTGTGGTCACTTGGGTAGTGAACCATTGGACGGTCACTTAGGGAGTGAACCATCAGACGGAAGATCTTCCCCTTTGTCTCTCCTCCTCTCTGTATACCCACTTATTCAATAAAAATTAATAAATATTAAAAAAAAAAGAAAGAAACACTGGGATGCCAGGTTTTATGGGTTAGGATTAATGGGTTAAACCTGTTCCTATGATACTGGCATCCCATATTGGCACCTGTTCCAGGCCCAGGTGCTCCACTTCTGATGACATTTCCTGCTAATGTGCCTGAGAGACAACAGAAGATTTCTGAAGCAATTAGGCCTTCCTGTCCATGTAGGAAATCTGGAAGAAGGTATGGCTCCTGCCTTTGGCCTGGCAAAACCCCAGCCACTGGAGTTGTTTGGGCACCAGCTGATGGAATACCTTTCACTCTCTCTGCTTCTCTTTTCTCTCTTTCTCTCTCTCTGTCTTCCTTTTTCTCTATGTATCCCTGACATTTAAATAAACAGTAATAGCAAATAAGACACAATTATTGTCTCTAATTCAAATAAAAATCCTGATGGTAACACTAAAATATAATAAAGTAGATTCAAAAATAATAAATACTACGTCTTAAAGAAAAGAAACCTCGGACACCTGTCTATGAACTAAACCTCCCCTCTAGCCAAAATCCACAAAGGAGTTTGCAACTCATTCCCTGACCACAAGAAAAAAATAACTTTACAAAGAGTTTGAAATTGCTTGAAAGTGGGACCTCCCTAAGCTGAAGTGTGCTCTGGCTGAACTCTGATTGTAGAGTTTCAGGATTCCATGTAAAAGACCTAGCTCATCCGGGTTTGAACACCTCACAGAAGTGTAAGAGAAAGAAGTGGATGTGCTCTTGGCAATTCTTTTTTTTTCCCCTTATTTTTTAAGGCAACAATGGGTATCCATATGGTTAGTATAAAATACTGTATTCTGATACTTAGCATGTGAACCTTATTGGTGAGATATTGTGTGCTGTTACAAATTCAAACCAAAATGAAAATTTCATGATAAAACATGAGCTGGTACTTGTCACTAGGCCAGTCAAATATAATTGATATGTTCTTTCCGATTCATTAAACCATCTTTGCAGGTTTTAACAAATTATTTTTGTGTAACTCATAAGCAGTCATTGAAGCATATGACTAAGGGCAGGCAGGCCTTGTGGCATCTGTGGTAGTGTACTGCCAGTGTTTCTGTATCTGAATGGGTGCTTGGTTTTTGAATGTTCTCATTCTCTCTCTCTCTCCCTCCCTCTCTCTTTCAAATAAATTAATAAATATAAAAAATAAGCAAGTAATGAAAGATTACATGATAAACAGTCCCAGTCAGAATGAGCCCAAGTAAAATTACAGTGACATTAGGAATGTCTTTACTTTGAGAAGCTGTAGTATCAAAGGATTTTTTTTAGTGCTTTTCCGGCTATAGAGAAGGCATTATTTTGATAACTTACTTTCTTTCCTGTATATCCCTAATTAATAATATATCATCATCATCATTGTTGTACTGTATTTATTTTTAATTTCTCTTGGCACTTATCTATCCTTTCATCCAACATATCTATACTGAATGCTGTATATGTAAATTGAATGACAGTATGTTGAAAGAACAGTCATTAGTGTAAACCCAAGTTGCACCCTGTCCCACCTGTTCCCTCTACACTGTGCTCCAGTGTTAGAACTGTCTACTTGCACATCTGCTTTTGTCTTTTCTAAAATGAAAGGCAGGTAAAGTGTCACATAGATGAGGTGTCTAACTCACTTGTATATCTTTATGGCATCAATATATTCTTTTTTTATTTATTTGTTATTAACATTGTATTATGTGATACAGTTTTATAAGCACTGGGGATTCCCCCCACCCCTCCCCCACCCCTCCTCCCATAGTGGATTGCTCCACCTTGCTGCATAACCGCGGTTCAAGTTCAGTTGAAATTCCTTCATTGCAAGCATATACCCATTATAAAGTCCAGCATCTTATTGTCCAGATAAGTTCAGTGGCCTCTTGGGGAGACCTTCTCTGGTCTGAAGGCAGAGCTAACAGAGTAAAGTTCCGGTCAGTTAAAATCCCCAACAAAACATCAGCATCAATACACAACGTTATGGAATTAATTGACATAGTATTGAGTGAACAACATGTTAAAAAAAAATGCAAGTTCAATTCTTCAAAACATCTGGGTTGAGATAGTATCAATGACAGGTTCAAAAAGTAACAAACAACCAAGCATAAATTACAGGTTAAATCAAGGCAAACATGTGATATCTGACATAGTACTGAGTAGACAATATGTTAAAATTACATGTAAGTTCTTGACTACCTCCTGCAACTATTTCAATGACACCTCATCAATTGAGGTGTGCAACAAGTTTGGGGGGTGTTGCAGAGAAATCTCTCATACCTTGCTGATGGGTACTTGTTCTTTGTGTTCCATCTAATAGGACATGTGTGAGTCCTTGATGTCCTATCTTTCTTTATTGTGCTTTGCTTATCTCATCCTATTAGTGTGTGTATATGAGTGTGTGTGTGTGTGTGTGTGTGTGTGTGTGTGTGTGTGTGTGTGTGTGTGTGTGTGAAGGGTTGCAGGGGGTTTAGGAGGAACCTTGTTAGTCATTATAGAGGGTGGAGGCCCAGAGCTGGAACTAGGTAAGGACTGGAGAAGGTTCCTCTCCCATTGTCCCGCAGGAAGTTTATTGATCTTCTGGTTCTGATGACCGATCGTGGTTCCTGGCTGTTGTTCTGATGTCGTTAGTTCCTATGTGGAAGGACTCGGGCTTCTTCCATCTCGTGTAGTTTATCCAAAGAGGGGGGATGTCTGTCCTCTGGGTTCACGGCATCCGGAGGCATTCCAGATCCCCGTGTTCTCTTTGGCAGTTGTGATGACGTTCTTGTGTCCGTTCTGATTTACCTTGGTGGGAGTCCGGGAGTCCTTGTGGGTGGGGGATAAGCCTCCTCCCGTCCCGCTGTTCCGCTCTGGGGTTCTCCCCTATTCTGTGCATATGACCACCTGTTAATAGACTGTTTGGGTCGTTCCTAATTCCCCCTGTGTGTCGTTGTAGCTTTTGCTATTGTCTAATGCTGATCTGGATCTATCAACTTTAAGATACCTATCCAGTTCCTGTAGGTTACACTACGTGGATTCCTAGCTTTTTCAAAGGAGATGAGAGATTTCTCTGTGTTCCCACCCAGTTACTGTGTATCGTAAGGAATTGGCATTATATTGGGAATTATAATCATTCAGAACATATGGGGTGAAACCATAATAGCAGCAAATTCGTCTGAGGAAGATTTACAGACATTGGAAATCTTTAGGGTTGCTTGGTGTCCCCAAAACACTGCAGTTTCAGCATGAAGCTGTCTTGAGCAGCATACAGAGAACCAATTTCTCAGGGCTCCCTGGCCGGGCGGCCAGCAGACGAAGCCTGGCGCCAACTGGCGCACTGGCCGCCCGAAGCAGTCCTCCGAGTGAGCGTGAGGGCTGCTTGTTGCTTCCTGGGAGAAGAAGTAGGCTGGGCCTGGGGACCCCGGCCACAGCCATGCGGCTGGAGGTAACGTCCCCTGGCCAGCATCTATATATTCATACATGTTTACTTCCCAGGACTATGAAGACAAAATTAACATTCTGAAACACTGTTGAAAGGTCTGGTGCACAATAAATGAATAACATGAGATAGCTATTGCTGTAACTGCATCATTCTTCTTATCAGTCTTATGTATCTGCATTCTTATGCAAGTCCCCGGTGTCTCTGATATGGGTGATTCTTTTTTGTGATACTCATCTCAATATTTTCTCAATTATTAAGAAACTAACAGTTCAACACCTTATTCTTTTGCAGCTGGGAGTTACTAGCATTTTGAGTTCATGACTGAACCTATTGTGTCTGAGAAGCTGGAGCTCACTGGAGGCTCCTATAGCACTATGACAAGTGCTGTGGGATGTCACACTTGCCCCATTGCTTCACTTGAATGATTTGTCAGCTTTTGTATCCTTAAGGGCACTGCTCCCCATCTCCTTTACATGGAAATGCCAACTTTGAGACCAAAACTGTTTTGGTTTGAATTCCAGTTGTTTATATATCTTTCAGCATTAGGGTTCATTTTTAAATACTAGCTGCGAATAGTAGATAAGTACGGAAAGTGCTGTTGTTTGGGTGTGACATTTAGTAAACGCCCAACAATGCTAGCTGATACTATTTTTATAGGTATTTACAGAAGACAATTGAATGTATTTTGATGCCAGTATCAACAAGTCCCTGTTCACAAATTGAGCAACCTAATTCAGATCCCAGAATATCACTTCCTCATTTATTTCCTACAACAGAATAAAAAATTTGATTAATTATGCCTCCACATTTTTAAACATTGTGCTGTTGAGATGCAAATGAAAGTTACCATAACCAAAGCATATGTATATTCCTAACCTTCACTGTTAAAAATTCATTGCTTTATTTACAGAATGACATGAATTACATAGCATCCAGTGGGCTTCTATTTAAAGATGGCAAAAAGCGAATTGACTACATCCTGGTGTACAGAAAGACAAATATACAATATGACAAAAGAAACACATTTGAAAAGAACCTCCGAGCAGAGGGTTTGATGCTGGAGAAGGAGGTAAGTGCCCAAGTTCATGCTCATAGTTACGATGATGTAATTTGCTGAAATAAATAAAATCACTTGCATTTTAGAGTAAGAAGTATATCACACATGGCATTGTAAAACATCTATTGTTTTTCTCCAAATTTAAAATAAATGCATACATACATTTCCATTTAAATATGCACGCAGTTTTACTCTGTGTATTTTAAATAGTTTTCAAAGGATATGACAAGTTTTTCAATTTTAAAAATTGAAGGAAGCATAATTATGTACCTTTGTAAAATCAAAATTTCTAAAAGAAGAAAATGTTAAAGTTAGTCATTTGCTAAGCAATTTTTGTATTAAGACATTCTTCTCAACACATCATCTTTTTTAAGAAAGATGCTTTTATGAATTTTTTCTCTAGCAAAATTCTAAAAGTACTAAAATCAAAGACACTAGAAAGAATATAAAATTAGAAATGGGGAAAAAGTGTACCCATCACAATTCTATTATCCAAAAATAACCAATCGTTATTTTAGCAAAATGTTTTAGGGTTTCCTGCGGCGCATATTGGCAAACTGCAGAAAGGAAAGGTCCTGATACAAAATATTGAAAGTATAGAAATAAAAGTCAAGAGTCTATATTTACCATTTCCAATCACATCCTTCTCTTCTTTTATTACTATGACCACTCTGACTTTTATTCTGCTGGTTGCTGCTCAATGAATTTTCTGTATCTTCCCCAGGATGTATTTTAACACAGACTTTCATTATGTTCATGAAACACTGGCACTATTCTGCAAGTCGGTTCTGGCATTTGGCAATGTTACCAATAGCTTAGGTTGTTATATTTAGAAACAGCTCCATGATTTACTACATATACAGTATTAATACTGGGAATTAAGTTAGTCATTTCTCTGTGGAAAAAATCAAGGTCTAAATTCATTATTTGAGAGACTCCTAAATTCTACTCCTGGGACTTAGTTAGGCTTCCAAATAGCTAGAGCGCTAAGTTAAAAATAAAGTCTGATGTTTTATAAGATTAAATACCTAAATAGTTTGTTGACAATATTATTCAGACTGCTCAAGGGCACTTGGCTATAACCTAACAATTCTGTCTTCCCTCCTTGTATGCCAGCATTATTGTCCTGAGGTCCGTGAATTGAGATGTTTGAAGTCTAACTTGGCATGGTCCTAGAAAAGAAAATAATTTACATTTAATAATTTTTTTCAGTAATAAAAAATATAAATATGCGATGCCTGTCTCTTTACAGGAAGCCATTTTTTGAGATCCTATCTGGTGTTCTTAATCTGCACAAGTAAAGTTCTGGCTTTGGGTTTCTGTTGACTTCCTTAGTTGTCTCTTATATAATGATTCTCTGGAGAGTTTAGTCCAAGACACCCCTATCACTGGTAGATGACTGAATCAAAAGGTGTTTATTCAGATTCTTAAATGTATTGCCCCACAGTTCTGCAGAGCACAGGGTGTGTGTGCCAGCCATCCCTGCAAACTCTAGTATATGTGCAGAATGTAAGTTACCAGTCATGGGGCTTTCTCTTTTCTGCCATGTGTCTCTTTTCCTGTTGAGATTAATGACTTTTCCTGATAGCTAAAAGTGTTAAGCATACTGACATTTCTCAGGGATGTCTTATTAATTTTGAAGCTGATTTTGAGAATTTCCTATTTCCCTCGCCCCCCTCAAAAGGTCCTAGAAGTTCCATGAAGTTTAAATGTGCGTTTTCATCCACTGACTCATTCTCTACATGGCCACAACAACTAGGATTGGATCAGGCAGAAGCCAGTAGCCTAAAACTCAATCTGTTTCTCAAAAGTGGTTGACATGAACTCAAATATTTTAACCAAATTTGTACCTTACTGGGATGTGCAGTAGCAGGAAGCTAGATTAAAAGCAGAGAGGGGACTCCAACCCAACTGGCATGATGACTACTGAACCAAACACTTCCCCTTGAGTAGTTTATAACAGAAACAATGATCTAGTCTGAAGAGGGAAGAGTAAAGGAAAGGGAAAATCTAAAATTAAAACTGGTAAACTTGGAACTGAGTTTTGAAAAGCAATTTGTAGCTGAAGCCAATAAATAAAGGATGTATGAAATGTAACTAAAGCAGATGAATAAAAGGATGTGAATTTCAATGTTAGTTGCACTTTAGAATGCCATGATTATCTTTTAAACTATCAGTACTAAATTCCATCAAAACATGGAAAAGTAAGTATTAGCATTATGGTGAATGTAGGGAGGGAGAGAGATAACACTGTTTTTTTTAATATCAGAAAAAAAGCACTATTTGACCTTTGAAAGAATTTCTAGAGTTATATAATTCTGTTTTAAAGATTAAGACTTTTGATCACTACATCAAGGGAAATAAGAAGTTATTGAATAGCTGCAGGCCAAGTGGCATTACAGCTATATTTGTTTTCCAAAGCATAAAAGTGAATACTCATGAGTATGAATTTGGAGAGTGAGGCAGAATGCAAGAGATCATCAGAGGCATAGGGATATGACGAGGTGACTACATTATCATAAGTGATAACATAAATGTGACCTCAATGAAAAGGACCTCATCAGAGGCAGATAAATGGGTAGTCTACTGAGTAAAGAGTAGTCAGTATAAACCACTTTATTAAGGGAAACTTTAAAAATATTATTTATTTGAATGCAAAGTTAGAAAGAGAGGTAGGAAGAGATACAAGCTGAGAGAATCTTCTATTCCTTGGTTCACTTTCCAAATGGCTACTGCAGCCAGTGCTAGTCAGGCTAAAGTCAGGAGCCAGAAGCTTCATCTGGGTCTTCCATGTAAAGATATATGGCCTTTAAGTATTTGAGCCATCTTCCACTGCTTTTAGTACGAAGATGGATCAGATGTGGAACAGTTGCAACTGGAAAGGGAACCCATATGGGATGACAGTGCTAGAAGCAGTGGTTTAGCTTGCTCTATCACAACAGCAACCCTTACAGGAGAGCTTATATAAAGATGGAGAGAGCAGGCAGTGATGAGCTACAGTTAGAAGGAGAGGCAGAAGAGAAGGAGCAACAAGAAAGCAAAGTCATCAACACAGAGTACTGCTGATAATCCAGCTAAGACATGACAGTAGCTCATTCAGCTGGAAGTTATAAAGATTTCTGGTGAAAACTTCCAATTAGATGGACTTGCTTGCTAGACCAGCAGGACATAAAGAAGGAATGGCAATGGAGAAATAGATGCGACAACAGATGTCATCAACTTGCTTATCTGCAAAAGAGAGAACAGTTTGGAACATACAGAAAAAAAGCTTGGAAAAGTGGCCTTTTTTTTTTTCTACTTTTTCTTACATACAATTTTGAATGTTTTCAATTCTAAGGATAACACTGTTGTTCTTAAAATAGTTTCGTTTACTAGGACTGAATGTGTTACACAGGTTAGTATATGAAATCAACCTGTTAGGACAAATGTAGTTTTAAAAATATTTTTCTGAAATAAGTCTTCTAATATTCCACCATTAAAATGGTCTTGAAACTTCAAATGCAGATGTCTCACAATTATTTATGTTGTGTTCCTATTGCTGCTCAACGAGTTATCATAAATTTAACAACATTAAAAAAAGAAATATTTATTTGCTCAAAGTTGTGTAGGTTGTAAGTTGGAAGATGGCATAGCTGTGTGCTTTTGCTGAGTTTTTCTTAATTGTTAAATGAAGATGTCATCCCAAGTATATTTGTAGCTGGAGCCCGCTGAAACTTATGTGGTAGTTCAAGATTCAATCATTAGCTGTTGTAGGTTGAGACATCTGTTTCTTTGCTGCATTGCAACTCAGAAACAACCCTCATTCCTCATAACACATGGTTCCTTCTGTGTTCAATACAAGCAGAAAACAACTTCTTATCTCTCTGCTGTCTTGAATCTCTTTGGCCAGGAAAAGTCTAATCCCTTGTAAAGATTCTTCAGCCATTTATTAGAATCTCTTTTCTTAACTTGAAATCTATCAGAAAACAACAGAATCAAGAGGTAACTAAACATTCACATAGTTTAAAGATTACACTGGACCAATACAACCAAAGATAGACATCTTGGAGAATTTTTATAATTCTGCATACTGCCCTGTCAAATAAAAATCAGAACCAGATAACTGTATATTCTCTGCCTAAGCCAGTAGATTTTGAAAGAAACTTATAAATGATAAAATGCGACCTAAGCATGTGTATGATTGGTTCTCATATGAATTAATTTCTATGAGATATACAATTGCCTATATCTATCTGAAATATCAAATCTTGTGGTATTCCAAGCATTAGTTGCTTTCTATTCTCTCTACTACTGATGGCTGTGGCATTTTGTTGCACTATAATTTTTATTAACATTAAACTGAAGACAGATACTGATTGTTTAGAGAAGAAAATAGGGTTTGTTTGCTGAAAAGTGAAGGCTAGGGGGAATATGTCCTAATTTCTGAAACACAGCGCTCACTGGAGCTAAGCCCTGAGTCTTGCAAGAATAAAATTCAAGAGTTTTCAAACTGCACATGCATGTTGATGTTTTTAAATGCTAACATCATTAGGAGAAAAAGACGTGTCTCTGAAGTCATGTGAATCAATACATTTTATTTGAAACTGCCATAATAGGTACATTATAACCTAACTCAGCTCTCAATTTGTATCTGCATTTTGTCTTTCTCTTAGACATCAAACTGTGTGCTTCCAAATATATTTTATTTCTGCTTTGCACCAAAGCTTGTGAGCTGACTTCATAAAAACCCACTTTTTAATTTCCCCTTCTCTCCAGAGTTCATCGCCTACCTCCTCAGAATGTTGGGCGGAATAATTAAATAGTAATGTGAAGTGTGAAGGTTGTGGGTGGCTTGTTCCCTCTGAGAAGCCTGCTTTAATCAGAGTTGAACAGGATAGTACCAGATTGGCATATTTGAATTTTAATTTGCAAGTTCATTCTCCCAACAGCATCTTCTCTGTGCCAGCCCCACCCAATGATAACAGTTGAAATTATTATTTTAAGTAAAATTATACTAAAATAGAAGTTAATTTGAGGAAACTTGAAAGATCTATAGGACAAACATGGTGACATGTTCCAGCTGTGTGTTCACTTAGCTAAACATTTACTCATTGATGACAGGCATTGTAATGCAGAGTTATCTCTCTAAAAGCCCCGTTGCATTTAAGTGTATTAAGTTATTTGGAATGTTATAACTTGAAAGTAGTGAATTAATAGTCACTTCTGGGCAAGCTCTTCATACTGTTCAAGTAAGTCTTCATAAAGTGTTTTCTTCCAGAATAGCTTTGCTTGTTGGTATCCTGTCTTCCTCAACTCTGAAAATAAGTTAATTAGTTCAACAAATGCTTAGTTCTTACTGTGTGTCCGGTACAAAACTTGGGATGAGATCTATTTCTCTGGCTTGAGACACACAAATGAATAAAATAAAATAAATTCCTTGTGCTACATAATAGAAGTTAAAAATACTCCAAGAAAATAGAAGAAGCAGATCAATATGGGGGCAAATGAGACAAATAGCAGCAATTGGCCAAATGACGTAAGTGTAGTAAATGAGAGAGAGAGTACTTGCAGAAGAGGTTGTTGAGACACTGAAGTTACAAAAGTTAGCAAAACAGGTTGTCATTCACAATGAAATGGAATTCTAAGTGACAACATGACTTGAATTAAATAAATCCTGTCTCCCAAGAACAGTATCTAGTCAAAAACAAGAGCAAAGTTTTAAAGATACTGCAGAATTTGCAGAAATATCATTTTAAAAAACAACTTCTATTTAGTTTTATTATTGGGTGAAAATACTTCATTCCTCAAATTAATGTTGAATCAGGTCCCTAGTCTTTAATATTTGTCAAAGTGTTATGCTTATGTAATTTGAACATTAGTGTTAGGCACCTTCCATAATCAAGGAACAGTCTCATGATAAATGAAATAGTTATTTAGAGGAGCAAAAGAGAGAACAAACTCTTGCAATGCTCTGACAATGCTTTTTATTTTAGACAGAATGTAGTTGAGAGATGTGCAGTCAATTGAGAGCAAACATTTTATGGAAAGTGTGCTAAATGGAGCCACTTCAAATGCCCTGTAATTAATTGATAAGGGTTGCAACTCTATGAGGCAAAGGTCATTGTCTTTATTACTCAGGTGGTGAAAGTGCATGTGAGAGAACAATGTAACTTTCCCAAGGTCTTAGAGATAACAAATGGTAAGCATGAAATTTGTACTTGGGGCTGTATGATTCCAACTAGCATGAACAATCTAGCATACTCTATCATTACTTGGAAGTAGGCAGTAAGGATTGAAACGATCTAAATTAACCTTGGTAAGAGAATGAGAAGCTTATGTAACACAAACAGTTGACACATAAGAAATTCTATATGGATAAAACAGAGGAACTTAAAACATGAAGTGTATGCCTTGCTTAGCTTGGATGAAGAAGTAATTTAAAAGGATGAAAGTATTATATTGTCATGTTATAAAATGTTATTGCCCCTTTTATTCCTATATGGAAACCGTTCCACCACATATACCAAAAAGAGCCTGAATGTACTGACATTATGATCTTCTCCTTTCCCTTGGTTGGAAAAGCTCCAGGAGAATAATAAATGCAATTGTAAATGAATAATTGTTTGAATAAGAAAACTGTCACTTTAAAATAATATATTTACCTTTCTGAAACATGCAGCATTTTCAGTGCTAGTCTGAATAAAAAGCCCTATATCTGTTTAGGATATAAATATCTATTTAGGATATAGTTTGTCTAGTAGAATAGGCAGCTTTGATTACCATAATTGTTTTCTTCTGATTTGAAATAGCCATATTCCAAGTAAGAATAGACTTTCAGAAATTGTACTGACAAGAAAGTACATTTTGTTATTTTTTCGAAGGTGATTTGGCAAACAATTAGCACCTCAATATGTTCAGAAGGAAAAACAATGCATAATCAAAAAATGTGACTATTCCATGTACTTTCTTACTTGCACAGATACTTTCAACAAGAACGTGTGTATGAAGGTTTCCTCTGGTGACAAACACTAAATTTATTTGGTCATGGAATGTCCCTCCCCTTCTTTTTTGTTAATACTCTTCAGAACAAACTTCGCTGAGCGGATGCCCAACGGAAACACTGGTCAGCCATTTCTGGCTATGGCTCTTGTTCCATTTGTGTGGCTCTGTAGAAAAACTTATAAACGCTGTCCCTACAAATTTTAAGCATTGTTCTAGCAAATCCTTAAACCAGTCATGTTTACAATATGTAATTCTAGGAATATGACACTTTGGCAATTTCATTTTAAACATATTTGTATTTGAATTAATTTGATAGATTCGTTTCATACTTTTTGGATTTTAAGATTAATGCAGCTCTTGAAAAATTCAATCTAACTCAAATATAAAAACAATTAAGTTTAAATGAAGTTACATTGTGTTTAACCTAGCAGGTATGTATAAATGGAAACAAACTTTTTTTTCTTTATATACCTCTGTAAACAGTTATATATGCTACTAATAATATGTGAACATGAGTGACGTCATTGCCAAGAAAGCCAGTTATTAGCTACTTATTTTAGCATGCTAAATCAAATCTCAGAATCTTAATGCAGATGAACCAAAACTATATCTAATTCTCTGAAAAATGGCATTGTGAGGATACTCAAATAATAAACTTCAGTTGTCAAATTCCTAATAATTAGATTGGAAAAAAAAATTCCTTTGGTTATTCTAGAGCATGCGTCACTCAGCTTAAAAACCTCTTGTCTTGATAATTCCAATGGGAGGTTTTACATCTTGATGCACGTATGTATTACTAAATGGTTAAGTCCGGCAAGATAGTGCTGAAGGTTATTGGACTTCTATGATTTATCCTCCATCTTTTTTCAAATTATAACAGCAAGCAGATTGAGAAGTTTAGAGTTACTCATAAAATGTTCTATGAAAAACAAACAAATGGGGCCCGGCACGACAGCGTAGTGGTTAAAGTCTTTGCCTTGCACACGCCGGGATCCCATATGGTTGCAGGTTCTAATCCCAGCAGCCCTGCTTCCCATCCAGCTCCCTGCTTGTGGCCTGGCAAAGCAGTTGAGGACGGCCCAAAGCCTTGGAACACTGCACCCGTGTGGGAGACCCGGAAGAGAGGCGCCTGGCTTCTAGCTTTGGATCAGCGCAATTTCAGCTTTACAGCCGCTTGGGGAGTGAATCATCGGATGGAAGATCTTCCTCTCTGTCTCTCCTCCTCTCTGTATACCCACTTTTCCAATAAAAATAAAATAAGTCTTAAAAAAAGAAGAAGAAAAAGAAAAATAAACAAAAGGCTAGTGAGACTGGTGGTATTTTTGTTTTGTTTTTTGTTTTTGTTTGAATCAAAGGGTCAAGATCAAAACACCAAACGATCAAAAATAAGTTCAGATCCTTAGATCATGATATGGAACTCTGAAGTTTGCTAGCGGTTAATGTAAAAAAATGCAGTAATTCACATAGGTGATTTTCATTTATAAAATGACATTTTCAGTATTATTGCTTTTTATTCATTAAAATATCTTTATTCATATTACATACTTTTAGATTATTGGTAATGATTTCATGAGTAACCAAAGAAACAAAGTTCCTTCCTCCTCAGTCAAAGCTATTAGGACATCAGCAGCATTGGTTCTAGTAATGGTGCCTGTCTTGCTTTCCTTTGCAGCCAGCAATTGCAAGCCCTGATATCATGTTCATTAAAATTCACATTCCATGGGATACACTGTGCAAGTATGCAGAGAGGCTCAACATCAGGATGCCCTTCAGGTACTTTCAAATCATGTTTCATTCTATTTCAATTTTTGTGATGATAAGTCTGTCTTTTTAATATTCCCCATTGTTTCTTTCATGCTATTGAATTTGAAAAACTGTATCCCTAGTTTTCACAACTGTGGTAGTTTTGACATTCCCAGATTTTATGATGAGCCTCTGTGATCATGAAGGTATCATATGAGATCCTCATCTTCTTGTTCCTCAAACTTTGAATGATGCAACCATGAACATTCCCCATAAAAAAAATTGATAATGTACTGGCAAACTTTGAGAAATCATGAGGGAAACATAACAATTAAAAACCTGAATTAATTTGCAAACATTTTTTGCCATGTTTTAAAGCTCTGTATTGAGATATATTTAGGAGAAAGCAACTGATACCCCAAACATCTAGGTAGATAAACATACAAGTAATAAAAAAATAAATGTTTTTCCACATTAGAAGTGCCCTATACAAATATAGTGTAAGATTCCAGACAGCACATAAAGATGTGAACATTTTGATGAAGTTTGGTCTCTGAGAAGCCAGTAAGAAATTGTGAGATGCTGTCTGCATCGTGATTAAATAGCCTGAGGCCCAGAGAAAATCATTTTCAGTCCAGTAATTATATTTAACTCATCTTAGGAGTACACTAGGGAAAAAATTGTGCTAACATTCTTGACATCTGAAATTTTTTGTTTGACATCGTATAAGTTTCTAAAACATATTTTGAAATTCATCATTGCCATTGACTATTGATAATAATATGTCATAATCTGTTGATATCAGGAACCACTTCCTTTTTCTCCTGAATAGCACATATACATGTTTTACAAAATCATGGAGAATATAAGCAATGAGATAACCTCAATTAATTAAAGAGTTGTATATGTTGCTGGATACCAGCTGCGGCTGACTTCAGAACTTGCAAAAGATGTGTGGATTAGGAAGAAGACAAGAGACATGGACCACTATAGCATGATGCTCATAATGGACAACTCAGAAAAGTTGCCTTCTTTATTTATACAGAAATCATCAAAAGCTTTTGCACAATATCCAATTGTTTTATTTTTACTTCATTATTAAAGAATGATTACAAAAGCAATCCTACTAAATACTATTATTATTTTACTTCAGAGGAAATATTTTCAGCAATCTATTACTCATTCAAATCTGCAATCATCTGGCTGAAGCCAGGAACTTCATGTTTGGTAGCAGTGACAGGTGGTTTATTTATATACAAAATCAAATTTCACTAAACCTAAACTAATGTTACTTAAAATGGCAAGTATAGAAGATAAAAGGAAAGCATATGAATGAAATTTATAAAGCAATATATCATAGATTCTTTACTAAATCTTAATATAAATCATGCATTAATTACTATCACCTTCACCTAATACTAATTCAATTGTTTTTTATTCATTTGTTAAAGGGCAGTGAAAAGGACAGGGCAAATCAGCCTTTCTTTTCAAAAAAAAAAAAAGAAACTTCCTTTTCTTTTCAAAAAAACTTATTATCTTTATAAACTATTTTCTTTCCCTAAATATAAGTGCCGATATAAGGTAGAAGTTTCAAACTATTTTCCAGTGTGGGCTCACAAATTTTGTCTCTCTTTAAAAGATGGCCCATATACTTTCTGCTTTATGTGGTCATTTCATGTACTATAGCAGTTTAAGGCTATGTGGTAAATAAACTGTAACTCTATGATTGCCATCTGTTTCCAAGATATTACCAAGCCATTTCTTAAGGAAAACTTTACTTATATTAAGGCAAGCTTCAGGACAAAGATAGGCACATAACAGTATGTCTGGGAACAATGTAGGCTCAACTGTGCTACTGTATGCTTTTAGCTGTGTGTCATTGCCTTAAGTTGCTAAAGACCCTTTTATCATAACATGATTGATAAGTTTGAGGTGTTATACCCGTTACAGGAATCATTTCACTTTTGCAGAAAAACAACACCACCTTCAGGAGAATTCTATGAACTGTCAGAGAGGTGATCGAGTGTTGTGTCAATACAATGGGGAGAGGCAGCAATGAAGTGATCAGAGTCATTCTGCCAGGCCCTGCCATGCAGCCAGAGACTTCTCGTAGCCCTGCTAGTCACACCTAGTCACACCCTTACTCCACCTGTCCCAACTGCATGGCTTCCCACAATATGTGATAATTATCAAATGTTGCATAGATGTAATAAATCAGTATAGGAGTCAAAATCCACAAAACATTCTGAAAGTTAATTTTAAAATCTGTGAGCATTATCACTTTTCATAGCCCCCATTTTCTATCCTGTGAATGTGACTTTAAATTGTATAAATTGTAGAAAATGTTTGCAGAAATTTAGTTTATACTGTAGAAAATAGAAATAGTTTCTATGTTCAACATTAGAAGATTTTAAAGAGCCACATCATTTGCAATGAGATATGATTAGTTTGTCGAAAGAAACAGTATAAAATTGTTTAAGGGTCATCAAGCAGAAAATAATCCAAAATAATGAATATATATGGAATAAAATCATTTTTAAGATGTAAAGCTGTATGACAATAAAATCGGAAAGAAACAGAGCAATACACTAAAAAATAGTTAACTTCTGGGTTAAATTGTGGGCTACTGTTCATTTGTATCATTGTACAATTATCTGTTTTCTGGGCCTGGCATTATAGCAGAGAATGTTAAGTGAAGCTAGCATGCCATCAAAAAATCGGTTTGAATTCTAGCTCCTCTATGCCTATCCAGCTTCCTGTTAATGTGTTTGAAAGAGTAGTGGAAAATGTTTTTTTATATATAAGTTCCAATTTAACTTCTTGATGTGAACACAAGATTTCAAAAGCAGCGTCACATTCAAGAAAATAAACCGCTTTCTGATACTAGGACAACATAAAAAGTTTTTTTAATCTAATCGTAACTGATTAAAGTTGCTTTGATCCTGTTGCAATTTCTGTGACTCCAGTAAAGTTTTTAAGTCATGTTTGTATTTACATAAACATTTAATTGATGGCAGCCTCAGCACAATGACCTAGTGCTAAATCCTGGCCTTCCATGTGCCAGGATCCCGACTACTCCACTTCCCATTCAGCTCCCTGCTTTTGCCCTGGGAAAGCAATAGAGGATGGCCCAAAGCTTTGGGGCACTGCATCCACACGGGAGATGCAGAAGAAGTGCCTTGTGCCTGGCTCAGCTCCAACCATTGCAGTCACTTGAGGAGTGAAGAAGCAAATGGAAGATCTTTCTCTGTTTATCTTATTCTCTTTATAGACCTGCCTTTCCAGTAAAATAAACAAATTTGAAAGAAAGAAAGAGAGAGAGAGAAAGAGAGGGAGAGAGAGAAGGAACGAACAAATGAACAAACAAACTTGAAACGACATTAAAAAAAAAAAAGTTCATTGATGGGGAGGGAAGAATCCAATAGTGGGGAACACAGGTTTGTTCTGCCGATTTGCACAAAAGATGCAGTTCAGGTGGAATGGAAATAATGATAAAATATTTTATCTGAAAGAGACCACTCTGTGAGCTTCATGCCAACAGAATTTTGTCAAAGTCCGAAAGATTGATTTATTTTTCTGTGTGAGAGGGGATTGGTATCACTTGATTAAACCATTGCATAAGTACCTGCTATCAAACTGTATCCATATTTCATTCAGTTGAAGAGAAACTTGTGAAGTGTAATGTTGTGCTAAGGCAATTACATAACAGCAAATTATCATGGATCATGTGACTTAAGCAGCCAAACTTTGTGTTTCGGTTTTGGAAATTGGGAGGTTAAAACATTGCAGGGTTGTTTTGTTTTGTGTTCTTTTCCCACAAGGTACAAAACACAGCAAATGCTTGCTTTTTCTCTAATAAGAGCACTAAACGGTTCATGAGGACTCCAATCTCCAATCTCATGAGGACTTCCTTGAAACCTGCTTCCTGATAGCATTAGATATTCAGGCTTCAACAAGCATTGAATCCGTTGTAATCAGTTAAATGTTTTCTTTACTGGAAATATTTAAATTTCATAATTTCAATGACAGTTTTTCGTTTTTAACTCAAATTATATTTCTCCTTCCATTGCCTATTTATCCTTCATAATGTAAAGTCAGTTTCTTCTATGTGAAATGCTGTAGCACAGTGAGTGAACTGCCTCCTGGGGTCTCCAGGCTGTAGTTTCATACTTTTCCCATAGCTGTTTCCTTTATCTCAGCTACACTTTATAATTTTTTGTAAAATACTGATAGAGTGATCCCCCTTTCTCGTTGAATCCCCTCATTCTTATGAATTCAATATAAATTACAATACACTCTTGGTGGAAAATAATCGCTACTCTTCTGATTTGAATTTTCAAAAGGAAAAAAAAATAAAACTCTCATCAATTTAATTTCTTTATATCTTCTTATTGAATGTGCATCAGTAACAAAGCCCTTGCCAGATTGTGAATGAGCTGAATTCAAACTGAGTTTGGCTCTCCAGGTTGTATGCATCATAGCCGTCTGTCTCAGGAGAGATTTTAAAGAGGATACTCTCTTCAGTCTGATTTTTTAATAAGTTGTGTTCATTTCTAATGTCCTGGTAAGACTGCATCTAAAGAAAGAGTTCTGACACATTGAAGGGTTAGGAGTGATGTAGGAAAGTGTAGAATGTATGCACTTATTGTCGTTCCTGAATCTGTTTTTGCTTTATCATATACTTCATAACTGCTATGCTATTGAAATATTTAGAAAATATCATTGATATCCACAATATATAACAATATATATTCAAAAATAAACAGTATTTTTCAAAGTGTGTAACCAAATGCCCTCCATTATTACTGAATTCATAAATATATTGACTCAGGAACTTTAATCAAAATGATTTCCTATCTTTAGAATGCATTAAAATTTCTAGCGAAGCAGTGCAAACAAATTTTTCATTAAGTCAAAAATGTGGAAGTGCTGGTATCACAAACATGGAGTAGGTTTGAGTATATAGATTTTAACAAGCATCACAAATGATTCTAATACAGAGGTTTCACCATTTTAAATCTCATACCTTTTTTGTAAATTATAAGGGAGAGGGTAGTTATGTAACATACCCTCTCCTTTTTTTCCATTGGTGCTGATGTTCTGAGAAAACTGTTTGAAAAATGCTACAACACAGTTTTTTGAAACATTTTTAAATTAATTAAAATGGCATTAACTATCACCTTCCTAACGAACTTTTGTATCTATAAGGTACAACAGAAATTTGAAATTACAATCAGTGTGTAGTAACAGACTGCCATCTTAACATACTTTAAACAGTAAAAGTGTTTTGTGATAGGCACTCCAGTTTCCAGTAATCATTTACCAGATTCAATAACATATGCACTTTATAGAATTTATAATACAGCCCTGAATGGGTTTCACAGCTCAGGATTCAATCAACCACTTATCAGAAATATTTAAAACAAATATGCAACTATACCCTGAATATAATCAGGACTTTTCTTGTCATTATTCCCTAGGAAATCCAGCATTAAAATGCTCACATAACCTTTATATTATATTAGTATTATAGATAATCTAGAGGTAATTCAAAGTATTCATGAGAATGTGCATGTTAGATTTCAATACCTCTTCAGTCTATACTGCAGAATTGAGCACTCGGTTTCTTATATTCAAGTAGATCCTAGAGGTAGTCCCCCAAAACAGAAGGCACAATTATATCCAAGACTAATAAACAGATGAACTAGGAAAACATCAATATATATGCCTTCCTAGAACACACATTTCAATTATGTTTACAAATTTTACCTTGATCTATTGCAAGCAATTATCTAGCTTTTGAGTGTATTATAATTTAGTTACAAAATAGAGCTCTACGTAGATTTATTAGTTACAACCTTTCTTGTAAAAGTTTTCTGATTACTCATTGCATGACCACAACTTGAGCATTTTATCTAAATCTGGGGGATGATGACAGTGAACGTTATAGGGTGAAGAGTTCAGGTAGTGAAGGATTTGGTCCTTCAGGATCACTTTTGCAGAATAATTAAGGAAAACTGGAGGTTGTTGATGATTTCATGGATAATAGGTACAGTGTATATTTTTAGAGAAATATAATTAAAGACAACCCCTACCCACTTCTGCAGTCCTTCCACAATGCTGGAAGATGAAAATATTACTATGTAAGAATTAAAGCAAAATAAATGTAGCAAAGCTTGCAAAGAGGTTGCAAAGGCAGGAAGAAATTTGATGCTATTATATAGCCAATCAAATACAACTCTTTGTTTACATGTAGTCAAGATCAATAATAATTGTTCTGTAAGAGGGTTGAAAACATCACACATCCAGCCTAGCTTATCTTTTGTTTTAATGTTTATTTATTTTTATTGGAAAGTCAGATATACAGAGAGGAGGAGAGACAGAGGAAGATCTTTTGTCCCATGATTCACTCCCCAAGTGGCCGGTGCTGAGCCAATCTGAAGCCAGAAGCCAGGAAACCAGGAGCTCTTCTGTGTCTCCCACGCAAGTGCAGGGTCCCAAGGCTTTGGGTCGTCCTCGACTGCTTTCCCAAACCACAAGAGGGGAGTTGGATGTGAACTGGAGCAGCTAGAACATGAACTGATGTCCATATGGGATTTTGGCAGTTACAAAGCAAGGATTTAGCCATTGAACCCCTCAAAATACTCTAATATGGGTATCTTTAAAAAGATGGATGAACAACTTCCTGTAACACAAGAAAGCATTTCAGGTTTTTAGGCACTGTATGGCAGAAGATGGACTTTCTAAACTATGTAAATTATGTATATTTATGGTGTTCTATTAATTTTTAAGGTATCAGTTTTGTTGATAACTTATATTCTGAAACTAAAACCGTGCAAATTCTATGTTCTTTATATTATCCTGGCTTATTTCAAGAGTATTCTATTTCTTAGACATATGGAACTTGGGAATAGAAATGCTCAAATGAATGAATGCTTTCATTCATTTATTTCATGGCATTTTCCTGCGATTTTCTTCAGCTGATTTCTATTATTTTTTGTTTTCTTGTTATAGGAAAAAATGCTATTACACTGATGAGAGGAGCAAGTCAAAGGGAAGGTATGTGATTTATGTGTAATTTGTTTATACTAATTAGTTGCTTGGGGAAAAAGATTCAGTTATCTATGTCAATAGTTGTAGATTTCATGAAGAAACATTCCTTTGATTTGTTCAAGAGATTTTCAGAATCATCTATATCAGATTGAATAATGTTTAAATCAGAATATTCATTACTATTTGATATTGTCATTCCAGAAACCATTTATATCATGTGTGGAAGGAGGGTTTTGATTGAAATTGAGTATCTCTAAAGATTTTAATTATATTTTTGAAATGGATTGATGAGTAAAGATATGACCCACTAGAGTAATAGGACAATACTCTCAGCAAAGGCTTGCTCTCTTGTTCACCAGAATCTCTAACTTGATAGAAGTGGTACAGGTTAACTTTGAGAGGATGAAGTGGTTTATCACTGAATAGCAATTTTGAATTGAAGCCACACTCTAATTCTACCAGGAAGGACTAAGATACTAGGATGAGTTGCCTCTCTCATCCTTATACTGGAAACTTATCTTCAAGCTTAGCTTCATGAATGTTTACTCAAAACACCAGCTCTTTATGTATGGTAATAGAAATAGTCAAAACAGAATCTATCAAACCACCACCCTGAGATGTCAGAAACTCTCCTGCCTGAAACACTTAGCATTTTTTTTTTAATTTTTAATGAAAAGTAAGGTTTACATAGGTAAAGAGAGAGAGAGAGAGAGAGAGAGAGAGAGAGAGGAGAGAGATCTTCTTTCTGCTGTTTTACTCCCCAAGTGTTCATGTGTCCACAATGACCGGAGCTAAGTGATCCGAATCCAGGAGCCAGGAGCTTTGTCAGTGTCGCCCACTCAGGTGCAGTGTCCCAAGCCTTTGGGCCGTCCACAAGAAATCCTGGCACTTGCAAGGTGAGGACTTTAGCCACTAGGCTACTGTGCCAGGACCCAAGAACTTTTTAACTGAAGGAAATGAGCTTTCACATATTGGATGCTCAGACCAAATGCTTTGTGGTCTTGGCTGTTTTTGTTTAATTTTGTTTTGTTTTTTGCTCATTGCAATAGAATCAGTTAACAAAGACAGAACCATGTAAATGTAACAAGAATGTCTCTGTTAAATGTAACAAAGTATTATAAGTCAGATGGACACAAATGTTAGATTAGAAAGTATATATTGTGAATAAAGAAGATTTTAGAAAAAAGATTCAATGAATCTAATTCCCTTACTAAAGTAAATGGTTGAATATAATTTTGAACTTGGAAATCATAATTGTTTAACATGAAAATCAAGGAGTTGTGGGCCTAGTGTGGTAGCCTAGCAGTTAAAGTCCTAGCCTTGACTGCACGGTGATCCCATGTAGATACCAGTTTTAATTTTGTCAGCCCTGCTTCTTAATTGACTCCCTGCCTGTACCCTGGGAAAACAGTGAAGGGCATCCCAAAGACTTAGGACCCTACACCTGCAAGGGAGACCTGGAAGAAGCTCCTGGCTCCTGGCTCCTGGCACGTGGTTTAGGATTGTTTCAGCTCATGTAGTTGAGGCCGCTTGGGTATTGAGTCATTGGACAGAAGATCTTCCTCTTTGTCTCTCATCCTTCTGTATATCTGACTTTCCAATATAAATAAATATTAACAAATATATAAGGAGTTGCATTATTGGAAAAATAGGAAAGTAAACTGAAGTAAAATAACTTGAAATTTAAATGAGTATTAAAGTCATTAGTACTGAAAATGACCTTTTTAAGAGATATCATTCAACCAAGCGGGATTTACTGTAAGTACATGTGAATGACCGCTCATCATTTACTAATTATGTAGCAAATTCCCAATGCCACTTCTGCATAACAAAATCAAAGCAATTTAATACATAAGATCAGCTCTGTGTGTTTTTCATGCTTAGCTCTGCATTGGCTTGCTTTCTGCTAGCTGATTGGTAAAGTCTCCTGCGTTTGGTTCACATACCACTACAGAATTAGTGAGACTTTTCAGGACACATGGTTTGCAGGCTACCTAATAAATAGATATATTTATTTCAGAAAGTAGCAGTATAATGAAATCTTATATATATTAAAAATATAACAAAGCCTATATATGGACATAAAATTGTCATTATCACTTTGGAATGAACCAGTATTTAGAATGCATGATGAATATGTAGATACTAAATTCCAATGAAATAACATTTCATTGTGTTTCAAATGTGTTTTTTAACACACTAATCAATTACAAAACCAAACTAGAAAAATGAACGTTTGTCCTTTGTTGTAATGTGTTATCTTTTATGTTTATTGTTTTATGTTCAAACTCATTAAGTGGAAATACAGCTATCAATTATTCAAAATGATTATTAAAACATTCTCATTCTGGCTTTAACCCGCCCCTGTGAAAAATTGTAAAATTTACTTATTATAGATTGTTCTCCTAATCTCTTTATTTGCTTTATTTGCTTATGCACGTGGAAAGGGATAGGAAATAAATAAGGATAGAGTTAGTGGAATTGTGCAACGTTATACTGGGGAAAAAAATCTGCTACATGGCTTGTCTGAGTTCAAGATGTTCAATTAAGGAAATGGCAGATTCCAATGAGTTAGTTTTACCTTTGAGAAAGACGCATTAAATGTCTTGTCTGCAGCTGTGTGTGTATGTGTGTGGTTATTTCTGATATAATATTTCAAACTAAAGCTATAAGTATTTTGAAAAGCAAGAAATTAAGTGTTCCTAATGGTTTAAGCTGTGCCTTTCCTTTCTTGGAGTGGAAAAGATCTGCATGATTAATTTGGATCCATAAACATTTGGAGGACAAATCGCGAGCAGGAAATTGTGCAGCTCTTCAAGATCATCATCTCTCCAGGCAGATTAAGAGAAAATGGCAATCACTTTGATTGCTACAATTTACCTTTTCCCACATTCAGTTATTAAAAATGTTCAAAAGGATCCTGCAAAGGTGACAAAAAGAAGGTAGCAATAATATGGATCAGGCAGAACAAATTACTTGCTGCCCATCTCTATGTACTTCCTACCCCAGTTTCACAGATAGGCCAACGTTTTTGACATTTTAATACCAATTTATGTTTCATTTTCATAGAATAATCTTAACTTTTCCCTAATTTTAACAAAGGAATTACACATTCTCTTAGAAGTCATCTTCACATTACACCATGGTAGCTGGCGCTTATAAGCTTCTTCACACAATAAAAGGTAGAAGGAGTATAAATTATTTTATTGCATTGGTAATATGATAATGGGTAGTTGTTTTAGAAATAGTAGAGATAATACCTCTTATTTGTATTATCACACACTTCTATTAGTGTTGTTCATGTGCTGCAATCTGTATTATAACTATTTCCTTAATTCCCATTTTTTTTTAGTTAAGGCATGAAAAAAATTAAATAAGGCTGAAAGAAATTATCAAACGGCATCCTTTTCTCTGAATACTCAAGCACAGTTCCGAACGTGTCTCACTATCAGACAGTATGTACGCTTAGGCAAGAAGTATGTGTTTAAATCCTATATTGATAATGCCATTTATTTTCTAATAGTGTTGATGAAAATGAGTAAAACGGGTTCTTGTTTCAAGTAAGAAAAAACTCATGCTGTGAGACAGAGGAGTGGTAAACAAGGTTGTAACTTTTACTGGGTTAGAGCATCCACAATAGTGGATGGGCTCCACTCCAAAGACTCTGAGAGTGCCCAGGCACTCAGAGTTGGAAATTATGATTGCATAGTTTAGTAGAGAGAATAGAACAGGAGGATCAGCAAAGAGCTGAAAGCTGAACATACTGACTGTATTCAGATTGAACCTAATAAAAAAAATTGGGGTTTATTTCTCCCTGTCATTTCTCCTTCAATCTCCCTCTTCTCCTGAACAAAGTTTGATAGTTGTGAAATGGTTTGTTCCTCCCAAGATTTATTATCCAGTGTTGGAAGGCAAGTTAGCTCTCTTGGTGCTGGGCAGGAGAATTCCCGTACGAGACTATCCTTGGGGGACAGACGGCTGTAACTACCTATAAATTTATTTGGGTTTGAGCAGGATTTGTATTTGGTGATTCCTGAGGTTTTTGCCTGTTTCTGCTAAACAATGCTACATTTTTTACCTTTCTGCAAGAATTTTCCAGAGCCCCTCACACACAGAGACGAACTTCTAACTTCTTTCTTAATATTCTCCCTTCAAGTGAAGTTATCCATAATCGTGGGGATTACTGCAATGAAGGTCTCAATTTCTGTATTCCAGCCGACATGTGAATACAGAAGTGTAAATGAATATTTTCTTGCTATTTGTACTACAGTGTTTAAAGGTGATGGAAAACTATTTTACATAGTCCATAGGACTGGTCACATCACCCAGCAGGAGATCTTGGGAGCTCTATGTAATTCCATTTCCAGGGAGTCCTATAGGCATTTCCAATACCAGTGCCTCAGAACTTGGCAGAGCTGACCAGGCTCTCTGGAAATCAGCTTCTTGCAAAGCTGTTTGCCCAGTGTCCTGGCTTCTACTTCTAGAACAGGTGCCATTTAGAAGTGGATTAGTCTTCTTGTGTATCTTTGATGGCTGATGACAGCCAAAAAACACAATTATTACTAATTGATTTGCCACCCATCCTTCCAGTGCTTCTGGTACTAAGCTCTGTGCTCTTCTTCTGGGCTCTCTGGTAAAGTCCACATTAGAGCAGTTTTCAGGTATCAGCCAAGATCATGCTTAGTACAACTTCTCATTTTTGAAGCTTTCTTTTAAAATCAGCTTGGTCTGGCCTAGATCTATAGTCATAGGCAGGTTCCTAATGAGTTAAGACTGTGCCCACGAGTTGGACAGTGTGATTTCCAGTAAGACCAAATGTGATCCTTACTTTAACAAGTTCATTAATGTTTAGTTAATCAGCAAAACTTTGTATCTCTTCCCCTGTATTTTGTTTTTCCAGGGGAGTTCCTCAAATTAACTGTTACACGGACAAAATAAATCCAGCTGTAAAATAATTTACATCAAGCTCCCATTTTGTTGCTATTTTCTTTGATTCTCTAATATTG